TTGACTGCACACTAAAATCATGTTAGATTCAGAGACTAGACAGTTTTTTATATGAAAACTAATAATTTCAAAATTGTAAATTAACCAATTGAAATATACAGAACAGGTTGGGAGTTCTTTTTCTTGTTAAGGAAGCAAAAACAGGACAATCAAAGACTGTGATAAAAGCACCTCATTTCATTGTTGTTTTAAAAAATGAGATGGATAGAATAATTTTTCAAGATTTGAGAACCACACGATGTCAAATTAGTGTAGAATTATACCATTTTGTAGTAAGAAAGATCCTGAAAAATCATCTGGTTCAGTTCCTTTTTTTTTTTTTTTTTTTTTTGAGATAGGGCCTTGCTCTGTAGCCTAGGCTAGAGTGCAGTGACATCATCATAGCTCACTGCAGCCTCCAGCTCCTGGGCTCAAGCCTCAGCCTCCTGAGTAGCTGGGATTACAGGCGTGAGTCACCACACCCAGCCAGGATTTAAAATTGATTTTAGAGTTTTCTTAGACAAAAGTTTTTAAAAGTAGCTAATGAAATTAGCATGAAGGGTAAACAAGCATAGTATGGTGGGTACATACTACTAAGTTACTGTATAGTTCCTATAGGAAAACTGCAGATTTGGTTCTCATACTTCTGGTTGCCATAGCAAAGAGGGAAACAATGTTATTTATAAGATTCATAAGACACAGACAAAAATACAGACAGTTAGATGTGAAAAATGTCTCCTGTGGATGACATTATTTTTCAAGGGAACTTTGGGAAAGACAGATAGATAAGGTCTTTAGCATGCTCCTAGACACTTCATTTATCTTTCTTGTTTCCAAAAAACTTTCCTTCTTTAATGAACGAATAAAATTTCTAATAAAGCTAAAACAAATAATAGCAGTTTTGAAATTAAAAGTGAAATTTCAAATTCAGTGGTAAAATTTGATCTTCAGTACATAGAAGAATGTCCTAATACTCAAAGAAGTAATGTACTAGTTAATCACATTTTCTTCTTATTTGTTTTAAAGTGCCAGGCCCTCCTATTTTTGGTAGAAAGGGTATGCTTACATTGGTTGAGATTCAGCTCCTTTGAACTGTAGGAGGATGTAAGGAAAGGAAACGTTTAGATAAGAGACTACAGGGCATTTCTACCTATTTTATCCAACTAAATTTTAGCTGACTTGTTAAATTACCTTATAGACTTCCCTTTTTGGGGGGAGGGGGTGGTTTACTGTTGCTAGTAAAATGATTTCAGCACTTGAAATTTCTCCAAATATATTTTGTGTTTGAATCTTATGTTTTGTGTTAAATAGATATAGTTTGCCTCTGTCGAAGCTATGGCTCTTTGGTGTTTTTGTTTGCTATACTTCTCTCTTTTTAGAATAAAACCAGTGTATACTTTGCCAGAGAAACTGTTTCTGTGGATGGGTAGCTTATAGTGGCTGACATCTCTTTTTCCCCTTTGTTTCTCTCCTTTCTCCCAGATAGGCTTTGTCACTTTGAGAAACTGTTTTTATTTTGCTTGAAAAGTTTCAACTTTGAACCTTGTAATCAGTGAAATCTGCTAGGCTTTTTCATAGAAAAACCTGTTAAGGCAGATTTTTCTCTAAACA